TGGGAGAACATTTGATTGAAGTATTGAGTATTTTGAATGGTCTGGACAGAGCACATCGAGAGAAACTATTCCCATTGCTGGAAGGAACGAGAACCTGAGGGAACAGATTTAAGGCAATTGGCAAAAGAAGCAACTGGCAACCGGGTTGTTAGGATCTGAAATGCACTGGCTGAGAGTGTGAGGGGGTTAACTGAGGCTTTCCAAAGGAAATTAGATCATTATCTGAAAGGAAGAAAAATCTGCAGGGCTATGGGGAAAAGACAGGTGAATGACAGTAGGTAAACTGCTGCTTCAGTGGATCAGTACAGCACAATGGGCCAAATATCCTCAGTCTGTGCTATTCCAGTACTACAATTTTATGTCAGTGGTACAGAATCTATTGCAAAGGCAACAACATAACAGCCATCCTTCAACCTCAATCAATGGACCAAATAGTAAACCGAACATAACTTTAACTGAAGTGTTTTGTATAAATACTTCTGAAATTAAGTACACTTGCCTGCATTCATGACTATTGAGTTATCTGTGTGCATCTTGCGTAGGGCTAAATTCTACATGCGACATTGTTACAATTTTCTGAGGTCAGTGTAATTTTAAATTTTCAGGCAGTGTCTTCAGCTCTGCCGGATTTTGGTAGAGAAGGGATAGACAGAGGTTAGCTTTGGCGTAACTAATTTGGAACTCTTCCAGCAGGCATCTCAGCATGTTACAATGTACCTTGTGTTTTCTCCTTTAGAACAGATGTGTACAGGCTTATCTCAAGAGGCATATTTTCATCTCTGCACAGATTTTCTGGTATGACTCAGGTAATATTTATAGTTCTAAGTGTTCTTGTGTGAAATGGGTGAAAATTCAGTGCAGTTAAGGTGCTGTCAGAGGCATGATGGTGAATGCCTGACATGTCAGCACTGCTGCAATTAAGATCCGTGTTTCCTGTAATCTTCCAATTTTGACATGTTCAAGCAGTCCAGGTACCAGTGGGGAGCCAGGGGCCTGGTGGTAATGTCATTGGCCGAGTAATCCAGAGATCCATGCTAATGTTCTGGAGACATGGGTTCGAATCCTGCCATAAAAGATGGTGAAATTTGAATTCAGTTAGGGGCTTGGAGTGGTGAAAATGTCTGGAACTAAAAAGCTAGCCTAATGATGACCATGTAATTATTGTCCTAAAAAGCCCACCTGGTTCACCAGTGCCCTTTAGGGAAGGAAATTTGTCATCTGACCCACGTGACTCCTCTTAACCACCATCTGAAATAGTCATAACATACATGGAGCAATTAGGGATGGGCAATAAATGCTGGCCCACTAACTGCATGCCTCAACTGTGGACCTCAATCTTGAAAGGCCACTTAAACCTAGTCTGGAATTCACAAATGAGAAGTGTACCGTGGAGCAGGTTAGAAACTTTTGTTTAAGTCACTGACACATTAAAAAAGACAGAATAATGACTCAATAAGGGGAAAGCATCCTCCAATGTTTCCAAATGCTTGACTTGAGGCTCTCCAGAGAAAGGCAGTGGGACCTGGTGGTCAATGCCAGTTAAACTCAGTAAATATGGATGCAGTTCAGCAAAAAGTTCAAGGATCTCACATAAGTGATCAAGTTCAGAGAAAGCGACTTCAAATTCCTTCTCCAACCAACAGCACCATTTTGACACTGTTCCCCAGGTACTCCTGAAGATTTGCTCCCTGAACATCATGGTTGATACATCCTTCTGTGAAAGCCCTTCTCCTTTTCCCTCTACCAGCAACTTGTCCTACTTTGTCTATCCTCAACTCATTCTCCCAGACAAAGCTGCATTCCAAGGTGAAGGAGCAACTAGTTTGCACAGAAGTTCTAAAGTCAGGGTAAAGACCTCTACTCCTTGAAGACTTGAGCAACTTTCAGGAACTTTATATAATGACTTGTACAATCATAGCAAAAGCCAGTCAAAATCAATTAGCAATTAACCTGAATGATCCTTTGGTGTTGTGTATGAGGGTGGTGTTTTTCCCCCTGCTGAATCAGTTTATGGTTTAAGAGAGGTATTTGCTGCAGTGGTGTCAAATAAACATTACAATTTGCATACTCTCCATACCTTTGGTGAACACTCACTACACAAACTAATGCCCTCATCAAAATGACAGCAGTGATCTGCGCTAGAACTATACATACACATTCTATTTTGGACATCTAAGGGCACTTGTAGCACCCAAATAAATGACAGCTATAGATCCAAATTTGTCATTGTTTAAGTTTAACTAGATCCAGGCAACGTCAGTCATGGCAATTGTTAATTTCCCCAACATGTCATTACTTTGAGGCGAGGGCAGTTTTGATTCAGTTACAACAGTTACATCCCACAAGATAGAAATGGACAGAAACAGGCATCTGACAGGCAAAGATCAGTTGGTTCAAAGACTGTCTGACACTTGGCCAAGTTACCCTGGGGCCAATATTCCCTCAAGTTTCTTTTTGTTGTGGATGACTAACTTGACTTGCTGTGCTGACCCTTTCAGTTTGCTGCATTCGGGCATGAGGGGATACAATTTGGAGGCTGTCCCTTGCAATTTGGATGGTGGGGATTGGATTCCTAGAGCACTGTAGGCTTAGAATTCCTTATATTGCCTTCTCCTTGTCCCATAACTGCAGGTTTAACATTTGTCTTTCAGGACATTCACTTCCTAATCAGTGATTATAATTTCAGTGGGTTTTTAATGATACCACTGGACCCTGATGTGCCTCCATTTATGAGGTGCCTATTTGGCCAAGCCACCTGATAAAATGGCCTAGTCAAAAACGTGTCTTAATAAGAAGAGGTTCTTGACTTAACAAGATGTCGTTTCTTTAATGATAGCAATCAGATATAACTTAGCCTAGTTAGTTAGATATTGTGCTAAGACTATGAAGAGTCTTCACTCCATGAGATCTTAAGGTGTTGTGTCTTATCTTAAGAAGCTGTCCAGCTTCTGGAATTATATTGAAGCTGTACTCATCCAGGCAATTGGCAAGCATCCCGTCACTCTCCTGATTCCTGACTGGGTGGTCCAGTTAAGTTTCTAGTCAGTGTTAATGCCCAGGATGTCAAGGGCAGGGGTTAACTTCTTGTTGGAGATGGTAATTGCCTGGCCATTGTATGGCATGAATGTTATTTACCATTTGTCAGCCCAAGTCAGGATATTATTCAAGTCTTGCTACATGGACTGCTCCAGTATCTTGAGGAATCGTGAATGGTGCTGAACATTGTGCAATTATCTGGAAAAAATTACCACTTCTGACCTTATGATGGAAGGAAGGGTGTGATGAAGCTGGTTGGCCCAAGGACACGAGACTGAGGAACTCCTGCAGTGATGTTCTGGAGCTGAGGTGACTGACCTTCAACAACCATAGCCATCATCATTTGTGTTAGCTTAGACTCCAAACAGCAATCAGTTTTCTCCCTGAATCCCATTGACTGCAGTTTCATTCAGGCTACTTGATCATCTGTGAATTTAATTGATTCAGTTGAATGAAGCTTTAGTTATCCCCTACTAACTGATGAGATGTTCTTGCTGTTTGCTGTGGCACTGCTACCAGATGCCACTCAGTATTTGGCTGAATATATGCCAAGGCTTTTTGTTGATGGTGAACATCTCAATCTTATCAATTCCAGTGACTTTCAAGCAGTGTTCAGGAGAACCCAGATGATTTTTTAAATTCTTCCCCTTCCCTGGCTGAGATTAGAAAATTGAGCATAACATAAACCTGGGACCTGTGTAATTTTAGTGACACCATACTGGTCTGAAACATTCTAAGAAATCACATGACACCAGGTTATAATACAACAGGTTTATTTGAAACCTGTTGGTCCATAACCTGGTGTCATGTGATTTCTGACTTTGTCCACCCTAGTCCAACACTGGCACCTCCACATCATGAAACCTTCTAGGCCACTAGAGGGAGCTGAAAAGTATTTTAGTAAAGATAAATTTGAATTCAATTACAAATGGAATGTTTTTGTTTATTGCAAGGGGAATGCAATATAAAAATGAGGATGTTTTGATCCAGTTGTGGAGCGTGATGGTGAGGCCAGATCTAGAGTACTGTGCACTGTTTTGGTCACCTTATTTGAGACAAGATGTTCAGAGGAGGCTCATTCTGATATGACTTCAGCTCCTAATTCGAACAGGCTGGATATTTCAGTGCTGACAATGGCAAATGTTATGACGTTTGTTGCTGCTATGCATTGTGGTCTTTTGGAAATCCTGACTAGTGCACATGCAATAATTTGCGCAAGAAGCTTAAACTTTCAACAAGTAGGTTTCTGCTGCCTGGGCCTCTCTGAAAATGTCTCCGACCTGCTAGTCAGAGATTTGGGCTCTTGCACGATATTTATCTGGATGTTATCATGACCATGGGTCAGAACTTCAGAGTACTGTGAACATGTTTAATTTATAATTCCAAGATGCATATTGTTAAAAGAGGGCACTTATAGCCAAAAATGGCTGCACATGGAAGTTAAGCAGCTGTCTGGAGAGAGAGAGAGACCCATGGAGTGTCACATCTACAAATGTGAAGGGGACTTCAAACAACAGTCCCTCAAAGGGGAAAAGAGGCAAGACAAAACAGACTGGACTGTGATAACAAGGTGAGAAGCTGGATGAAGACAGCAGGCCAAGCAGCTCCTATGCTTTGCTATCACAGCTCTACACCTTGTTATCACAGACTGGACTGTGATCTGTTGTGACAACAAAGATAACGAGAAGCTGATCACTCTTAGCTCAACAGCAAGCCACGCCCAATGTGTTATGCCCCAAACTGCAGGCAGTGTTTTGTGGTTTTCCCTTTGAAGAATAGTCAGGGCCAGGGTTTAAAAGTTAGTTTCAACTCTTCTGCAGTGTGTTAGTGTGACAGAATGTTTTCATGTACCAGCCTGGATTCGAATGTTAGCATGCTGTGAAGGTCACCCCTGTGTTTCAAATAAAAACTCTGTTTTTATAAGTGTTGGAAATCAGCTAGCTAACAGTCAGACATTAGGAAAAGAGGATAACAAATGGACTCTGTCTCACTCAGAATGGTGAAATTCAACTGCAATCAAAACGAATTAGAACTACAGACTTACGTCGTGAGTCTGCGGCCTCCATTTGTTCAACGGCGGGAGTCAGGAGAGAGTGCGGGGGGATTGCTGCGAAGGTAAAATCATATATTCGGGCAGTGGCTAAACCCGAAACTCTACATTGTAGTGTCTCCCACCCACTCTCCTCCTCTAACCAAAAAAAAAGACTCTGTGTGGAGGGTCAATAAGCACAATGATTTCCTCTGAGTCGGGAGAGAGCACGAGGGGACTGCTGGAAAGGTCAGTGGCGAGTATAATAACTTACAGTTAGCACTTTGGGGCCTTCAGTTTTGGCGGTGGAGGAGGAGGAGACCAGGAGTGAGAGCACAAGAGTGGTGTCTCCCACCCTTCCACCTCCTCTAACCTAAGAATAAAAAGGGTAAGAAAGTTATTCTCTACTTTTTACAAATCTTTCGGGGAAGTTTAAATTTAGAGGGGATGGCAGTCAGGACAGTGCAAGGTTCCTCCTGCAGGACGTGGGAGGTAAGAGTCAACAGCAGTGACTCTGCTGACTTAATCTGTGGGAAGTGCACCCAGCTCCAGCTCCTCAAAGACCGTGTTAGGGAACTGGAGCTGGAGCTGGATGAACACAGGATCATTCGGGAGGCAGAGGTGGTGATAGAAACGAGCTACAAGGACATAGTTACCCCTAAGAACGAAGGCAGTTGGGTGACAGTAAGGAAAGGGAACGGAAGGAAACAGTCAGTGCAGGGATCCCCTGTGGTCGTTCCCCTCAACGATGAGTATACTGTTTTGGATACTGTTGGGGGGGAAGACCTACCAGGGTCAGCCACAGGGACCGGGTCTCTGGTACAGGGTCTGGCTCTGTGGCTCAGAAGGGAAAGGGGGAGAATAGGAACGCAATTGTAGTGGGGGATTCAATGGTTAGAGGCACAGGCAGGTGGTTCTGTGAACGCGAACAAGACGAACGAATGGTATGTTGCCTCCCGGGTGCCAGGGTCTGTGACGTCTCGGATCGCGTCTTCAAGATCCTTAAGGGGGAGGGTGAGCAACCAGCAGTCATGGTACACATCAGTACCAATGACATAGGTAGAAAAAGGACTGAGAATGTGAAAAACGAGTACAGGGAGTTAGATTGGAAGCTAAAGTCCAGGACAAACAGGGTAGTTATCTCTGGATGACTACCAGTGCCACGTGATAATGAGGTAAGAAATAGGGAGAGAGTGCAGCTAAACACGTGGCTCCAGGGCTGGTGTAGGAGGGAGGGCTTCCATTATGTGGATAATTGGAGCACATTCTGGGGAAGGTGGGACCTGTACAGTAAGGACGGGTTGCACCTGAACCGGAAGGGCACAAATATCCTGGGAGGGAGGTTTGTTCGAGCTATACAGGATGGTTTAAACTAGATTGGCAGGGGGTGGGGAACCGGATTTGTAATTCAGAGGATGAAGTATTCAGCTTTCCAACTGACACAACAGGGAGTGAGGTTGTTAATAAAGAAATGCAGTTGATGGAGTGTAATTGTGGACACAGGGATGGTTTGAAGTGTGTATACTTCAACGCTAGAAGTATCAGAAGTAAGGTGGATGAACTCAGAGCATGGGTCAGTACTTGGAACTACAATGTTGTGGCCATTACAGAAACTTGGGTAACTCAGGGACAGGAATGGTTGTTGGAAGTTCTGGGATTTAGATGCTGTAAAAGAAATAGGGAAGGTGGTAAAAGAGGCGGGGGAGTGGCATTGCTAGTCAGGGCTAGTATAGCAGCTACTGAAAGGCAGTTTGAGAATGATATGTCTACAGAGTCAGTTTGGGTTGAGGTCAGGAACAAGAAAGGAGCAGTCACTTTGTTGGGGGTTTTTTACAGATCCCCCAGTAGTTGCAGAGAAGTGGAAGAGTGGATTGGGAGGCAGATACTGGAAAGGTGCAGAAGTCACAGGGTTGTAGTCATGGGTGACTTCAACTTTCCAAATATTGATTGGAAACTTTTTAGTTGTAATCGTTTAGATGGAGGGGACTTTGTCCAGTGCGTTCAGGAAGGATTCCTGATACAGTATGTAGATAGACCAACACGAGGAAAGGCCACTTTGGATTTGGTGCTTGGCAATGAACTGGGCCAAGTGTTAGACCTGTTGGTAGGAGAGCATTTTGGCGATAGCGATCATAACTCTGTTACTTTTACAATAGTCATGGAAAAGGATAGGTACATACAGCAGGGTAAGGTTTATAATTGGGGGAAGGGTAATTACAATTCTGTTAGGCAAGAACTGGGTAATATAAATTGGAAACAGATGCAGTCAGGGAAGAGCACTATTGAAATGTGGAGATTGTTTAAGGAATGCATACTGTGTGTGCTTGATATGTTTGTCCCGAGCAGGCAGGGAAGATGCGGTCGAGTGAGGGAGCCTTGGTTCTTGAGAGAGATCGAACGACTAGTTAAGAGGAAGAAGGATGCTTATATAAGGTTTAGGAAACAAGGATCGGAAAAGGCTCTAGAGGGATACAAGTTAGCCAGGAAGGAGCTGAGAAAAGGGCTTAGGAGAGCTATAAGGGGGCCTGAGAAAACCTTGGCAGATAGGATCAAGGAAAACCCCAAGGCTTTTTACATGTACGTGAGGAATAAGAGAATGACCAGAGAAAAGGTAGGACTGATCAAGGATTGTAGAGGGAATTTGTGCACGGAGCCTAAAGAGATAGGAGAGGTCCTTAATGATTACTTTTCTTTGGTATTCACAACTGAGAGGACCTAGTTGTAGGGGAGGACAGTGTGAAACAGACTGGTAGGCTAGAAGAGGTGGATGTTAGTAAGGAAGATGTACTAGGAATTTTGAGGAACTTGAAGATAGATAAGTCCCCTGGGCCTGATGGGATTTACCCAAGGATTTTATGGGAAGTGAGGAAAGAGATTGTAGGGCCTTTGGCGATGATCTTTTCGTCCTCACTGTCCATGGGTATAGTGCCGGAAGATTGGAGAGTGGCAAACGTCATTCCCTTGTTCAAAAAAGGGAATAGGGATAACCCTGGAAATTACAGGCCAGTTAGTCTTACTTCAGTGGTGGGCAAATTATTGGAAAGGGCTCTAAGAGATAGGATTTATGATGACTTAGATAGGCACGGTTTGATCCGTGATAGTCAGCATGGATTTGTGAGGGGTAGATCATGCCTCACAAACCTTATTGAATTCTTTGAAGAGGTGACCAAACACGTGGATGGAGGTAGAGCAGTGGATTTAAGTAAGGCGTTTGATAAGGTTCCCCCATGGTAGGCTCATGTAGAAAGTAAGGAGGCATGGGATAGGGGGAAATGTGGCAGATTGGATTCAGAATTGGCTGACCCTTAGAAGACAAAGGGTGGTAGTGGACGGAAAATATTCAACATGGTGCTCAGTTACAAGTGGTGTACCACAAGGATCTGTTCTGGGTCCTCTTCTATTTGTGATTTTTGTAAATGATTTGGATGAAGGAGTGGATGGTGGATTAGTAAGTTCGCGGACGATACGAAGGTGGGTCGAGTTGTGGATAGTGCGGAGGGCTGTTCTAGGTTACAAAGTGACATTGATAGGATGCAGAGCTGAGCTGAGAAGTGGCAGATGGAGTTTAATCCCGAAAAATGTGAGGTGATTCATTTTGGAAGGACAAATTTGAAAGCAGAATACAGGGTTAACGGAAAGATTCTTGGCAGTGTGGAGGAGCAGAGGGATCTTGGGGTTCATGTCCATAGTTCCCTGAAAGCTGCTACCCAGGTGGATTAGAGTTGTTAAGAAGGCGTATGGTGTGTTAGCTTTCATTAATAGAGGAATTGAGTTCAAGAGCTGTGAAGTTATCCTCCAGCTATAAAAAACTCTGGTTCGGCCAAATCTGGAGTATTGTGTCCAGTTCTGGTCGCCTCATTAATGGAAAGATGTGGAAGCGTTGGAAAAGGTGCAGAGGAGATTTACCAGGATGTTGCCTGGAATGGAGGGAAGGTCTTACGAGGAAAGGTTGAGAGAGCTAGGGCTTTTCTCTTTAGAACGACGAAGGATGAGAGGTGATTTGATAGAGGTGTACAAAATGATCAGAGGTATAGATAGAGTGGACAGCTAGAGACTTTTTCCTAGGGTGGAGGTAGCTACTATGAGGGGGCATAGTTTTAAAGTGAGTGGAGGTAGATATAGTGGAGACGCCAGAGGTAGGTTCTTTACTCAGAGAGTGGTCGGGGCATGGAATGCATTGCCAGGAGAGGGTAGTGGAGTCGGCCTCATTAGGGGCATTTAAGTGGCTATTAGATAGGCATATGGATGATAGTATAAGGTAGGGGTGGAGGTTAGATAGACCTTAGGTTTAGGGTAAAAGTTTGGCACAACATTGTGGGCCGAAGGGCCTGTACTGTGCTGTACTGTTCTATGTTCTGTGTTCTACAGAGTTTCAACCAATCAGCAAAAATAAGGATCATGAAAACTATTGTTTATCCATCAACATCAATGCTACTGCTAACCTTCACTGCAAAATAAGCAACATTCAACTATTTGCTCTTTGCAAACAATTCAGAGACTGATCCTACTTTTGACTTTTATCTTTTTGGTCTTGCCTCTTATTTCTAATCTGTATGTATGTGCTGTGTGGTTCTAATTCTTCTTGCGTTTTATAATTAATAAACTCACCCTTTGTTAACTCAGGATGGCTTAGTTAAATTGACTCCTTTTAAAATAAGTTTATATTAAAGGCAGCTACAAGGAATTAATTTTGAATTAATTTTGTTGCAACCAATTGAACGGGTAATAAAGAAGGGGAATCAATTCATCCCTCCTCACCTGGGAGCTTAACTGTTTGGGACATCCTGTCTGCAATGGTAATAAATTGGGAAATCTCATCCAGGGCCTGGTTGTAACAAAAACTGAAAGAAATGCAGATGCTGTAAATCAGAAACAAAAACAGAAGTTGCTGGAAAAGCTCAGCAGGTCTGGCAGCATCTGTGAAGAGAGATCAGAGTTAAGGTTTTGGGTCCGGTGACCCTTCAAAGGGAAATGTTAACTCTGATTTCTCTTCACAGATGCTGTCAGACCCGCTGAGCTTTTTCAGCAACTTCTGGTTGTAACAATACTGATCCTAGGTTCTTTTTATTAATTCATGGGATGTGGT